CTGTCACACCACGTGTCTCTGTACGGCCTCAAACACTAGGTGCACACAGTGCTGAAATGTACTGAAATATATATACAAAGACGTGATTGGGCATTAGCTCTAAGTCAGCACAGCGAGGTGGATACGGTGACAGCTGTCCAATCCTCCCTGCATCCCCTCCTCCCTCACCAGCCACCATTACTTTTCAGAAATGCTGTTTACCATACACAGGCAGCTGCCACCTCTGCTAACTTCCATAAGACGGCCACCTGCTAAAGGACATTTGTACATGGCTTTATTAAATTAAGGTGAATGCCAGTTTGCTGGAATGCATTGTGAAAAGTCGGCCTTGTTCTCTTTGCTGCCCGCGGACAGTTGGGCAGTTTGTGGCGAGCATGTGTCTGCTGTAAAGCATGCAAACAAACCTCCCAGATTTTCTCTGATTCCTTGATACGAAGGTCTTCAGATACTTGTTAAAATGCAATGTTGTTTTAATTGAAAAGATGAACAGAAATGCACATGACTACTCCTCCACTCAAAGTCCAAGTCTTTGGCTTTCCATTTGTCCTAACATCTGAACCTGTAAACAGTTAACATACTAATTAAAGAAAAACTCATGAAGTATTGTGGAGATTTGAAAAAAATCCTTATAATTTACATGTTTTAGGCAGCATGTCAAAGATTTTACTTTTACAATCCCAACAATTCATATTAAGTTTTCTTCACCGGAATGTAAAGACATTTTTTAAACAATTTTCTTGTTAACCATAATCCCATCACTATGAAGGAGGGTATTTTGAATACTTACAACTCTGTGTATAAGTGTTTAGCGTTGTCATAATGGTGTCCAGTACTACTGGAGGTCAACTAAGGCTGCGTTAAAAAACAACAACATTTCACTGCAACTGTTTTAAGGCAACATAGTAATACACAGACGAGACAGTGTGCTTTGGTAGCAGTTGTGTCATAGTTATTTCTTGACCAACAGCTGTTGTACGCAATGACTTCACAGTCCACTTGGTATTTAAACAGTCCTGTCCTCACAGTGGAAAATCTACAGTAGGTGGCATCTGTAAGCCGTCAACACATCGTCAACTTGTTGTCTGTGCCAACAGTTGCAACAGGAAGTACAGTGTACACCTATACATCTGCCAGTGCACACATCTTTGTGAACATGCCCTGAAGTATTAAATGTAATGTCTGTAATAATACAATATTATAGAGCTGTGTTTTTCTCACATTCAAAGGAAGTGTTAACCAAAGCTTTGGTGACCGTCTCTTCTAACCTTGGACTATCCTGTGATTACCTTTTAATGTTTTATAATTACCAAAGGCGGAAGAGTCAGCGGGGCAGAGGTTGTGTGGTGATGCCCTTGAGAGCAGGCCCTATGAATCAAGGGCTGGCGATAAATGGACTGGATCATTACTGAATCAAGTGATCTGCAGAATAATCTATTGATTTTCTGGTCTTTCGTACGTCTTTATTATTCTGTATCACAGTATTGCAACATCAGGAGGATTCCTCTGATGGATGGGTTTCATGGCCTCTGCAGTCACCATGGGGAGTTTGCTCAGGACTGTAGTGTTTCATTATGTTCTTTTCGACACTTTAAATGATAAAGCAGTTACAGTAAATGACAGACATATACTGAACTTTTTAAAAAAAAGGCTACTTCTTATATTATATCATACGTACAGCAGTGATATCGAAGTATTTAAAACATATGAGTGAGTAGGGATGCGTTATTGTTTATTGAATTGTCACTAATGCTACGATGATGGATGGATGGTGGTAAATTTCTGTCTCACTTATAAACCTGAGTATGGCATGCTGTTCATACTGTATGTAAGTAGTGCAAAAAACTGCTGGATAACTCATCAACATTCAAGTATAATATAATACAATTCCAAAGTAGCATTAGTACTGCAACTGTTTAATTTCTCCCCCTAACCTTTTCAGAAATATGTTTGTCTGTCTGTTAATGATGTGGAAACAACTCAAATGAAGGCAAATTGCACAAATAAGGTTAGGCTGACTCGTATTCAAGAAACAGAAGTGTTAATATTAATTTTTACACTAATGTCATGAACTCAATTCTTTTGGTCAGGATAATATGGAATTTTAAATTTGGGTCACATTTGTTAAATGTTAAAAGCCACACTATGTGTTGACTATTTAACTATGTACAGGCAGAGATTATAACAAATAAGTCTGAATTATTACTGAGGTTTCTCATATTTATCCAATAGACTTTAAAGATATTTTTATTCAAATAAAAAGTACTAACATAAAAAAGAGAAATCCTAAATCTAATTAGATTAAAAAAAAAAGTCTGTCTCTAAATCGCCTTAGTACACATGTTTAACTAGATTGGGATTAGATGATTGTGAAGAAAAATGTTAATCTTAAACGAGTAGTTTAATGGTAGGTTAAAACCACTAAATCCTTAAACCATTCAGTAAGGTTCAGATCAGAGCTCTGTCTACCTTGTTAGTTGACTCAGTTATTGATCCCCTGCAGGCTTGATTATGTACAACAGGACACATCACAAAACTGCTAATTGGCAATAATCTGTTTGTCAATAGTTCACAAGACTGCAGAATTTAGATAAGGAAAGTTCTGGGTTCAAAATACATGATCACTTTATCAACCTCACTGTACACATGAGGCAGGCTGGTGGAATACATTCAAGGAGCTCCACGCTCGGTGTATTTTACACTAGCATATTGATGTACAGTATGTTTTAGTTTAATAGAAAAGGTGAGCGAAGAGGAAAACACAGGGTGGACGTGACGGTAATGCTGTGCCAACGGGAAAGTAAACTTTTACTAGACAATTTAAGATGATAAACAACAACCCGGCATTGAATGTTATTCAAAAAAAGAAAATGTGAAAATATTATTCATAAAATGATATATAAAAATATATTAATTATGCCCATAAAAATCTAATTACCTGTAAATGACTCGCTCTCAGTCTGACTGGACCTGTCCCTGATCACACCACTGTGTGCTGTCAAAGCAATCGCTCAAAGTAGAAAAGACCCACTGTGTGTGTCAAGGCAGCTACCATCAGTTTGGAGCTTTTGAAATCTTTTTTTCCTTCTCTGAATCATGCCCTCAGTGTTTTGATTCAGTCTCATTATGCTCATTAACGCATTTCCAGCTGCAGCAAACAGCTGTTTTTTTTTTTTTACTTAAAAAACTGATTAACCCACAGGTATGCCATCTGCAGCCACATTGTTTTTTATGGGAGGGTATATTTGTACTTTCAGGCTTGTCTACCATAAAAAAATGAGATTTGTAGCCACATTAATTTAATGCATTAAAAGACAGAATCATATACCATTTAAGCAGTTGTAACTAATGAGTAAGCTATGGAAGCCACTGCCTCGGTGTATGTAACCTAATGTCTACTATACTGTTGGTGCATCTGAGGCAATGAAAATAAGTGGAAAAGACCTGGGTCACCAAACATTAGTTGGGATGTAAATAACTTGATGCCTTGAGTATTCTATATATATATATATATATATATATATATATATTAATTTGTAAGTTAGAAGTTACATTTATAGGATAACTAGTGAAGGTCTAGTTCACCTTTGTGTATATATTTTCTAATGGTATGAAAAAGATTGAAAAAAGTATGAAAAAATGTTTTATCACAAAACATACTACATCTATCTATCTATCTATCTATCTATCTATCTATCTATCTATCTATCTATCTATCTATCTATATATACTCTCTCTCTCTCTCTCTCTTTTGATATGGCAATACTGGCCGCAACCCACTATTTGAGAACCACGTTCATGATATATAAATAATAATTTTAAAAAATAATAAAAAAACATTACTTCTTAAACAATACACTTTAAATGATATTTCACGCTTAAAGTAAAAGTAGTGGTTGTTAATTGATTTGACAAGCTGTCAGCAGAAACCGCCTTTAAACTCCAGTCCACTTTTTCGAAGCACCACCTGCCCACCGAGAAATTCAATTAACAAGTCCGCTTCCCGCTTGAAGCCGGTCTCCAGGGCAGATCTTCCGGGCAACTCGCCCTGTGAGAAATTATTAGAAAATACTACAATAAAACGACAAAAAACTTAAACAAAAGTGTCAAGTTGAATGAAACGTCTCACGCTACCTACCGCAGACAGGTTCGCCCTTTCAGCTGGAAGTCACGGAGAGACAACCAACTAACGCAGGTGAGAGTTTCCTTTTATTTCCCTCTCAACTACTGCACACGCTTATTTTATTTCACAAAACACACAGTGGAGCTTTGGAGTAAAGCGATGCCAAAGTATTTCGGTAGGTGCGGTGAAGTTTTTGATAGATATTTCTTTTCTTAAAAGAAATGCTCGGAGGTAAACGCGGCGTGAGTGGAGAATCAGTTTCCGTGCAGCAGCAGCTGCGGCGGCGGCACAAACACGCCGGTGTACGCGGTGCCTACAAGAGCCGTTGTTTTAAAGCTTTCATGGTATTCTTTGTCAACAACGTTTACGTTTCAAGCTGCTAACGGCTGTTTGTTTAGCGTTTGTGAGCAAACACGCGCAGAGCTGAAACAGAAAGCCGTAACTTTTTTCCTTTCTCTCTGCACTTTTCAGCTCTTTCAGTGAGCTCAGTCGGATAAAAACACACGATGTTGTCATATTAACTCCACCGTTTGCATTCTATCATTTCCTGTCAAATTACCGTATTTAAAGTGGATACTAATTGGGGTATTTATATGCTGCGAATTCAGTCCAAAGTTTGTGTATTTGAAGAAAAAAAAACTTAAGTGAAACTCCGCCGAACAGGTTGTAGCCCTGACACAGTATCATTTACTGTAAATAGAGGAACTGCTATAAATGCAATCAATATTCAACGCTGCAAATGCGGAACTTCAGCTTTTGAAAACTTACTGATATGAATGTTTCTTTTCTAAATTTGTGTAGGCTACTTTTTTGCACGTCTTTTCTTTCTCCGAATAATTAAAAGCTGCAGAGAATCAACATCATGAATTTATCAAAATTTCTCTGACAAATCACTTGGAATTAAAGCAGGTACATTGCCCCAAAGTACACAAATAAATATCCTCATAACTATTGCACACTTAAATTGTACTGCGCACACCCCAAACAAAGCAAGTTAATTCTCAAGTATTATTTTGAAACTAACCACAATTCAAACTTTTAATTTTAGCTCTAACATATACAGTACACACACATACTGTACACATGACGGTTTTGATCCAAGTGTGTGCAATGGGCTGCACCTTAGGAAGCGGGGTGGAGGGGTGTGTGTGTGTGGGGGGGAGTTTGGTGCTTGCCCAATACACTACAGCCCTGCAGGGGCTGGGATTCAAACTAGCGACCCTCAGATCCTTTAACCACCCCGTCACAGGCTTCCCATTGAAATATGAAGCAAATATGACTCAATTTTTATCCTTAAAAATAATTATCAAGAATGCTAGATTTATTTCTAAAAATTATTTTTTAATGGCTGTAAGACTCTTAAGTTTTCTGAAATATATTTTGTTGAGGGAAGAGTAGCTTTAAAAAAACCCCACTTGACGTACAGCGCATGTTTGGTTAGTTGTGATCTCTTCAAAACACCCGTATGATGTAAGATTTATTTTCACATGCTTGCATGCTTTGGTAAAGGGTCACTGCTTGTACTCTGGTGTATGTGCAAATGTGTTGGTCTTGCAACTGTGTTATTATTCTCAGGGATGAGGATGAGGACAGGAATAGATCACTGGCACTTTAAACCCGGAGTTCTCATATTCTCCCGGATCTTTCTCCATTGCTAATTATTGTGTTGTTTTCAGAGCAAATATGTCATATCCATGGCGACCAGGCAGGTTTATTGTCTCTGCCGTGCAATAGCTCACATAAGTAATTAATTATCCTTTTTCCCCCCTCTCCCTCCTGTCTTTGGTTAAACAGATCATTCATGGAAAGCCATCTTCTATATTAAAATGCCACTGCGGGCACAACACAAGGTAAATACCGAGGTGTTTTTTTTCCTTCAGTTTTACTGTATAAATATACTTTTGTCCCTGTGACTTTTTCGTCTTACAAATCAGTTTTGGATGAAATCATTTTCCAGTGTAAAAAGATGTGTTACATGCATAGTGTCTGCTTCAGGGATATTTTCCATAACACCTTCGTAATGCAGCAGCAGTGTAGCCTAACTGTTGCAGATGTACTCATGCATGCAAAGCAAGAACACTTAAAGAGGTGTGCTTAAAAAACACATGTTTAGACATGGAATCAGCATGCATTTGGTGTGATATGAATAGCAAGCATTGCTAAAAGTAAACTTCCCCAAATTTTAGTGGCTTCTTGTATTGTACAAGGTCACCAAAAAATGATATCTAACAGCAGGTGACACACCCTGGAGCAATGGTTGACCTCAATGAATTTCGGTTGTGTTTTACAAACTATTCGTACAGTTTCTTTTCCATAAAGAGATGGTTTGCTCTAGTCCTTTCCTGCTTTTTAAATGATTGTATTAGTGTCACTCTTCGATGAGACAGCATGTGCAGCATCTGCATCTGTAGAACAGGGGTTCACTGTGGGCCAGATACCAGCTACTTTTGTGCTTTTACCTCTCTTTTGCACTGATATTGTTCAATTTTCATTAGTCAAACGCCTGTACTCCCTTCATCCTCTTTTTACACCCGTACTTCTGAATACACTCTGGTAATTTTTCATTGTTACTATAGGTGATGATGGAGCTTGGCTCCTGATCTGCGAAAACAGACACTAATTGTCCATTTGTGCTTTTTAATTACAATTTGGTTTGTGTTTTTTACTTAGTGTTTATGGACGTGGTCCTCCAGGCCGCTTGATTGGATCTGTCTGCCTCTCCCTCTCTCTCTCTCTTCCTCTCTCTCTCTCTTTCTCTCTCTCTTCTCGCTCTCTCTTCAAAATGGTACTTGAAATGTTGCCTGTAAGGCTAGACTCTCAGATTTCGACTCATTCAGAGTCTCATTGGTTAATCAGTCTGCGATGTCTCCAACGGTCTTATTTTCTGTAGCCCTATCAGTCAGTGAAATGCCTCATGTCTCACAGGTGCCCATCTGAATCTGTCAAAGGGGTGTGTAGAATTAAACCCATGTGTATTCCATTTCTGTTTGACCTTGGCTGTGGACCTTGGGTCTTTGATGTCAAATAAGCATCAGTAATCCCAAGCAGCATTTGACAGTCTTCGGAAGTCATTACTTATGTTTTCTAGAGCATAAGCATTATCAGTTGTCCTCGGTGTAATGATTTTGTATACAAATTGCGACTACCACTACCACGTTGTTTTGCTTTGTAAAAATATACTGCCCTCAACACGTACCACTGCGGTAGCACAAATAACACACATGTTTTTTTAATCATCATTATTGTTTTTATTTTAGTGCTGAGGAAATGTCCTTTTTGCATGCTTGATCAGCCAGTAGAGAAATCCAATATAATGGAGGTTCAAGGTGAATTGCATCCCATGCATTTCCCCCCTTCGACTGAAGGAATATTCCACAGCAAAATAAACAAATCACACAGACAACAGTAATATAGGCTTGATTTTGAAGGCATGAAATAAGTATCGATTAAATCCTGCAGTTCACAGATGAAAATGGCCTTTTTGGTAATTTGTCCTGGGCCCTTTCAATACATTGGAGAAAGCGAGTGGCAGCGTAGACTGAGGAGGGAGAGAGGCAGTCTGCAGAAAGGATGGAGGGAAAGAATAGAAAGCAGAAATAGCAGTGAGGAAGACAGAGAGCTTCCACAGAGTTAAGAAAGGGACATGCTGCTCCTTTCCGAGCTCATTATCATTCTTAATAAGTCTTAAGGAAAGAAGGAGCACTGAGTGTAAATGCACAGTAATCCTTACACTGGCCAAGGTTAGTTGGGACGTCAGCACAAGCTTGCTGCTCCCAGCTGGCCACTCTGGGACAGGGAGGGGACCAGAGGAGTACAGTTAAGCATAGATGTTCAAGGAGAAAGGGAGGGCATTAAGACACTGTTTAAAGGTTAGGTCCTTTCCCCCTGCCTGTACCTTTTTAGTGCCGGCACCACCTGGCCTTCAGTGAGTAAACAGTTCTGCAGTTCTCTGTAATGAAGAGCCAGTGAGCAGCACAAAGCCCGATTAAAACTCTAAATAGAACAGTTTGGACTAAGTTCAGGGGTTCAGTCTCCTGCTCAAAGTCACTGCTGACTGTACAGAGCCATGCAGCCCAACTTACTGTTCTTTGGGTGTGGTCCAGTAATGAGCATTAAGATGAATTGGATGAACTGGTGACCAATTAACTCATTTAACAAATTGCCAGCCACTTGTAGTGGTTGTTGCTCCATGTTGCTTTGATGGAAATTCAATCTGACATTTATTTATATACTGTACTAAACTTACACTCTGATGTTGTGTCGCTGTATCCATTTTACTGTGTTAATAATATTACAGTATTCCCGTTCATTAATCAAATCCAGTGTGAGACATGTCTGCCACATTAATCTTGGTCCACAGTAGAGGCACAACAGAAAATATTTTTTATTCACTTAAAGTAATTAGTACAGTGAGTGGCATTTTTGATGCTGGTCTGTGAAACCAGGAGCCTTATTTCAGTCCAGGCAGTTTTCAAAGCAAAATGGTATAAATATTTGATAAATAAGCATATTACACCGTAGTTGTAATTTTCCCAGCAAAGACAATGTACACAGTGGCAATAGTCTTTTATTAAGAGTGCTCATTAGTTTGGTCACATTTAATTCATGAGAACTTTAATAATTAAAAAGGCAACTGCTGGTAAATGTGTGTTGAATAAATCATGGTTTATGAAAATAAGGGAAAGGCGCCAGTTAACAAAATAGTTTTGAAGAAAAAAAAATTAAACACACCTGGAATCTTCTGGGAATTTACCTTTTACATACAATAATATTGTATATTTCCCTGTTCCAGTGGCCAAATATTTTGGTTCTATAAAATATGTTATGTGACTTCAGGTTCACCGGGCATTCATGCTCTAGTGCAAACAGGAAGTTGATACTCCTCTCTTTAACCATATAATTTGTTTAAGCACTACAGTAGTACTTTTAGAAACAAACAGAAGTAAAAATAGAATGTGAGAAGTACTTAGATTGAACCTACAATAAGAGTACACATAGACGAGAGAGGTTCTGCTGTATTTGGGAGTGTAATAGTAGGAAGTTACTTATGAGGGTACCAGCAGTATTTCTTTTAAACGTCTCTGTTTTGTGATATCAAGTACATCAGAGAAAAATGTACATCTTGAAGAAACCCCCCGATAAATATTTTATTTTGTGGACATCGACATGTTGTCTTTTGCCTTGTACTTAAATATCTTAAATATCTTAATTCTGTGGGTGACTTTTTATGGTAGGCATCAAACCACAAAGGTTGACTGTTGGAAACAAATTGGTTTCCTGGTCCACCCTTCAGATTTT